TAAAGATATTGATGATCCAACCTAATACATCGTTATGCATGAAAGTGTTGTGTGTCAATTTTTTTTTTTTTTTTTTTTGTACCTAAAAAATGGATTATATATATGTTTTCCTTTGTACTTCATAATACATATAATCATATGTAACCTTATTAAATTTATCTAGATTTTTAGTTTCCAAACGTTACAATTTTTAAATTTGTATGTGTACGTATACGTATGTTTTTTAAAATCCATGCATTATAGTGCTTGTTGGTTGACAAAATAAAAGTGGAAAGCTAAACGACACAAAAACTCAAAAATAGAGGGAGTTGGAATTCATGGAAATTTCAACTTCCCACAAAACATAAGAAAGTAAATAACTAAGGTCCTTTTAGTTGATTTTTTTTTTTTTTTCTGACAATACATTTTAGTCAATTTAAATTTATGGGAATTTCAACTTTTCATTGTTAAACAACTTCAACGAATATCATTAGGGAAATTATTTCATATGAATTATAACGTCCTACAAAAATTTATTTCACATGTCAACTAACCGAATTGTAGAAAAATTGTGCAAAATTTTAAATGAGACAATTAGAATAAAATGGATCGATATTTGTTTTTTCTTTTTTTTTTTAATAGAAATTTGTTTTTTCTGTTTTGGATAAGCCTAATTCTTATTTGACCATCAAATAAAATATAATACTACCTCCGTTTTTTTCATGTGTAACTTTAGAATATTTTATGTCTCACAAATATTCCTCAAAGTTGCACATAAAAAAAAGCTGAGGTAGGATAATGTTATTAAAGGTGGAGTCCCCCCACCCCCCTGGAAATATTAAGAAAGTAGTGGGGCAGCACTATGCAATGAAGCAGCGACTAAGTTGGTAACTAACTGTTATTTGCCCCCACAAACACAAACCCCTTTCATTATCATCAAACTCAAATACTAATACTAATATTCATTCATTGAATTCTTCAATATTATTCTTCTCTTTTTTTTTCTTCTTGGCCTGCAATAACTTTTCTTCTTCATACCCTCTTTAAGTCAAAACACATCAAATCATAACTTTGCTTCTTTACAAGTTTTAGTCTTTTTAAACCTGGTATATATTTTCAGTTTCTCTGCTACCTATTTATATACTTTTCTTCTATTTTTGCTGTATGAAAATTGTATTTTTCCATGATTTTTTTTTTAGTTATACTGCATGATTGTTGTAGTGAAGTTTTTTTTATCGATCAACTAGATTTTGAATCTGTGTGTGTTTTTAGTAGGGTGCAAATTTAAATGGGGTGCACTAAAGAATTTTGGCTGTGTAATTTAAGGTAATTTGATTTTGTTGTTCTTGAAAACAAAAACAGAAAATTTGTATGCACTACATAACCTTGACGTTCAGATTTTGAGATACCAAAACGTTGATAAAGATATCATCGAATTGATCATATATGACAGTTTTTTTTTTTTTTTTGTTGGTTATGTTTCATCTAGGATTTTTTTTTTTTATTTTTTTTTTTAAAATTTGGGTGGATGATCTAAGGATTAGAAGTATGTTTTCTTCGGATTTTTGAAGAATAATCAACTAATTTGTTTAACTTTTGTATTACAACCAGGTGTTTGACTACGTCAACGGATGCGAAAATGGGTAGAAAAGGTAACTGGTTCTCTTCAATGAAAAAAGCTCTCAATGGACCGGAGGTGAAGGAGATTGTTCAGGTTTCTCTTATTTTACTCTCGTGATAAACCAGTTAGTCAACCTTATTCGAGGATTATGACGAATGTTACAAGCTCGATGTTCTGTCTTCTATTTTCAGGAGTCTGGAAAATCAAAGAAGAAATGGTTTAGGAAGAAAAAGAGGTCTGGTCTGAACACAACACCAACAGACACTGCCCCTGCTACAACGGCATTACCTCCTCAGCCAACTGTGGCACCGGTGGTTGTTCCTGCCGCTGAACCAGCAAAAGTAAGTAGTGCAGCAGATAAGGAACAGAAATTAAGTAGTGCTGCAGATAAGGAACAGACGAAACATGCCTATAGTGTTGCTATAGCAACTGCTAAGGCTGCTGAGGCGGCTGTTGCAGCTGCTCAGGCTGCTGCAGAGGTTGTTCGTCTGACAGCAACTACTACACCTATTTCTGGCAAGTCTAAGGAGGAAATTGCAGCCATTAAGATTCAAACTGCTTTCCGAGGATACATGGTATGTTATTTGTTAAAAGTATTATGATCACAGAGTTCAGGGTAAATAAGATGGTAATTTTGTTTAGATTGTAAGCCTATTAAGTATTACTCTCTTCGTCACAAATTGTGTAGTAGGCCTTATCTGATTTAGGATCATTTTCAAGGGTTTTTAGCTTAATATCATTTTGTATTTAACTTATACATCACCATATTCTTCATTATAACGACTTGGTCTATCATTGAAATTCTTATTAAGGTATCATTATGGGAATATTCGAAGTATAACTCATTATTCTTGCACGAACTAAAATAGAAATGTATCTTATTTGAGGTGGAGTGAGTCATTTCATGTAAGGAAAAAAAATCATATCATGGTGAGCTTCTTTTTTCATTGCCTTTATTTTTTTATAGGGGAGGAGAACATTACGTGCTCTGCGAGGGCTGATGAGGTTGAAAGCAGTAATGCAAGGACAGGCAATCAAACGTCAGACTACAAATACTCTGAAGTCAATGCAAACATTAGCACGAGTGCAGTCTCAGGTACATGAGAGAAGACAGAAGATGGCTGAGGAAAACCTGGCTCGTCAGAAACAGATTCAGCAGAAATATGCAAAAGAGCAAGCCAAGGAACTTGAAAAATCACATGTATGTTCATCCTTCACAGTAATTTCTGCAATTATGAGTCAAACTACAATAGTTTTCTTGTTTTCGTAGTACTTATGCTGACGACAAAATGTGCTGAGCATGTTGCAGCAAAACGGTGATGGTTGGGACAGCAGTAGAAAGACAAAGGAACAGATCGAAGCAAAGTTGCAAAGCAGACATGAGGCAGCCATTAGAAGAGAAAGGACTCTGGCTTATGCATTTACCCATCAGGTAACGACTTAGACTTCTTTCCCGCTTACATGCCCAGCAACAATGCCCAAAGAAAATGAAGGATTTCAGGGTAGAAAATGCAAAATTTAAATCGCGCAGACAATGGAGAGGAGTTAGTGAGTCATGTACACAAGGTTTACCTATGTCATTATGCAAAAGCATATTTATCAAGCGTGTAAACTACTTCATGATTAGGCGTCTTCTTTTCGTACAACTAAGATTGTTTTTTTGATTGAGCTAGGCTCAAACTTGGTTCAATTAATAAAAAATTTGGTTCATTTATATATTTATTACTTCTGTACTGTGTGTTATATACTTCCTCCGTTCTTTTAATATCGCATCACTTGCCTTTTAGGGAAGTTTACAAAATATTGCATCAATTTCATTTTAGGATAAAAAATATCTATGTTCACACTGCAAATACCCTACATACCCTTACTTTTTCACACTTACTTTTTATTTTATATTACATGGACAATTTTGTATTTTTACATTTCTCTCTATTACTTTTTCCCACTACCAAATTTTGCCCCCAAAACTCCATGATGCAATAAAAAAAAACGGAGGAAATACTTTTATTCAATTTTATTTCTAGATAGTGAGCTATATAACACTTTTAAAACAACTCTAAAATTTAACACATTCATGTCCTTTAGAATTTTTTTTATTTCTTTTACTTAGGAAGAGTGTTAAAAATAGAACACCTTTATAATTTGCAAAGTAGCTTTAATTTGCAAGGTAGTTATCAGGAGAATAAGAACAATCCAATAGCTTAGTTTGTCAACGTAGCTAAATGAAATCATATGCTCTACAGCAAGCGTGGAAGGCATCATCAATGTCAGCGCACACATTGTTTATGGATGTAAACAATCCCCACTGGGGCTGGAGCTGGTTAGAACGATGGTTAGCTGCTAAACCATGGGAGACCGCAACCACTCCTGAGAAAGACTTTAGCAATGATAACTCCCCTCGTATTATGGCCTCCTCAAAGACCACTTTGTCTGGGAATCATGAGCTTACAAAAGCCTATTATGGCCGTGAAAAGCCTTCCCCAACATCCATTCGAAAACAACCCCGTTCTTCAACTGGTGGTCGCTTGTCCACTTCCAATGCCCCTTCAAAGTCCACTGCAGCAACCCGAAACTTGAGATCCCCAAGCCCAAAGATGAGCCCAAGGAAGAGCGTTTGGGGTCCAGAAGATGATGCAAGAAGCACACTGAGTATGCAATCAGAACAATCAAGGAGAAATAGTGTAACAGGTTCATCTGTTAGGGATGATGAAAGCCTAGCAAGTTCTCAAACTGTTCCAAGTTATATGGCTGCCACTGAATCTGCAAAGGCTAGAACACGATTTGGAGGTGAATGCAAGAGGGAGAAGAGTGTCACACCTGACAGAGTCTCTGTTAGTTCAGCCAGGAAAAGGGCTTCTCAGCCTGCTTCTCCTGCACGATCAAGGCGGTCTACTTCCTCAGATCATACTTAGAACTTAAATGAAAACATAATTCTTACTTTAAAAAAATAACTGATTTTGATTTTACTACTCCCTTATTTATATCGGTTTGTATTATTGCTGATAAAGTACGTGTTTGCTTGAGGCTGGTCATTAGTCCCTTTGGCATAGTCTTTAGAGCTGTATGTTTGTTAAACCTTTTGGTTTCTTTATTTTACATTGAGGATAAAGCATGATGATTTTGTAATCAATAATCACTGGCATTAATTTCTGAGTTTGACTGATACAGCAGGAACTATTATCTATAACAATGTAAGGCAGACTGGTGTTAGAGATACACCAAACAAAGAACACACATGGCTTTGCTGATTCCTACAGCATATGCTTTTCATCTCCTGCTTTTGATTGCAGAAGCATACTTCGTATATTGTTGCAATATCAGCAAGACTACTTGGCTTCAGGGTTCTCAAGAGCAGGAATTCTTATTAACTTTACCTGCCAAATCTGAATTCTAGTAAATAACAGCAAATTCTTTGTACCCAGTACTGCAGCAATGTATACTGCATTTCTACCACTTGGAAGTAAAATCACGCGAACAAGGATCAGTCAATGCCACAGCCCACAACTGATCATTCCATAGCTTAAGAGCAGCTACTATGCGTTCCCTGCCATAGAAACAATATGATACAGCCACGTTTATTCTCATTGCACAATATGATACAGCCACAATAAATCTGAATTCAATTCAAACCTTACATTTCACGCATTAGGAACTCCAGAAATTTTAAAAAATAAAGCGCCTACTTGTCTGAACTTATACTGTTAGAGCTTATGTGAACTTCGTTTGTTTGAACTTATCTGAACTTTTTCTTCTTTGAACTTATCTTTTCTAGATCTTATTTTGTTTACAAATAAGATAAATATATAAATAAATAAATAAATAAATAAAACAAACAAGCCCTAATAAATGTTGATACCTTGACCCAATGAAAAGAAAGTCTATGACAAAAACAGTGGAGCATATGAAGAGAAGTCCAAATATCTGGATTTGAATCTAGATTACATCCCTAAATGAGTAGTGACCCATCCTTAGTCATATCATATGCACAGCAAATATCAACCTTCATTGCCAAAAAAAAACTAATACCTTTTTTTTTTTTTTTTAAAAAAAAAGGGTTAACCGGCACATAAATTGAGATGATTTAAGTGACTTTAATATAATACAATGTTGAAAATCAAAAGAAAATATAATAGAGTTAATAGTTTATTCAAAAGTTGGGATGTCAAAGGAAAGAAACGGCCATTTTTAATAAGTGTAACTAATGTAAGGTGTAACACTCATAATGTAGTAGTTTGCCAAAAATGGAAGTGTAACACAAAAAAAAAAAAAAAGAGTGGTAAACTAATTTTATTATAAAAGAGCTGAATATGTTGAGTAGCCTCAAATTAATCCATGAGCACAATTTTTTTAAGGCTCCCTATGTTAAGATTAATAGGACCAACAGACACTGCAGATTCATGACATTTACTCTCACAAGTAATCTGAATTTAGTACATTAAAACCTGATATGCATATCTATATTGAAGATCATAGCCAAACTCAAAGAAAAAAGCAAACTTTTCCTCAAAAAAAAAAAAAAAAGAAAGACAAAAGCAAAAAAAACAATGTTGAAATCCTAAAAAGCAATATCTATAATCAGAAATTGTACACAAAACCTATATTCCGGTATACCAGAATTATAAGCAGGGTTAGTACTGTTTAATTATACAAAGTATTTATACATGTTATAAAGTGTTAGGCATTATCAGGATATCAGCTCATATTATTATGAGTATCAAGCCTCAATAACAAGGTTCCACATAACATTAACAATCAGACCTATATGACAGTTATGAAGACATAAATCAAAAATAAAATAAAATAAAAATTAATTAAAGTTACATACAGAGAATTCTGCTTGGGTTAATCAACTGTACAGAAACGTTTCTCGTCAGAAGTTTCACCATCAGAGACTAGTATTGTAGTATTTAACTGAAAAGAAGGGAAAAAATACCTTATCACTTTCAAGAGAATTGGCTACTGCATGGCTAACTTGTTCATCAATCTGGTTGGTGCACAGCTCTGCTTTCTGCTGAAGTGGGTGTTAACGGAGGTCAGCTTCCCCAATGAGGATTCAGGGAAAACTCGTCCAAGAACAATAGACAATCTTCAGCTGCACTGCAGCCAAGATAATCCTCATATCCACATCAGCCAGAACTTATGAGTTGAAAAGTTTTGTTGTGCTCTCTTTATGACTTGTTTCACTTTTAAATACATAAGATCCTCTGCAAACCTTGGAATCTATTGATTCTCAACTCTCCAGAGCTATAGATCTACATACTGACAAAGATGGTGCCAAAGTTCCATCTTCTGGTCTCTCATCATGATCAATCTCAACAAGTGAAGATCCTTGGAGCCAAATTGTTTCCTTCTAAAAGATAGAATAAAAAAAAGGTATAGTTATGGATCAAAAGGCATGTGAGATGGATAGATAAAATCATTACTATGATTTTGATGAAAAGACAAACACTGAATTCTAGAATGTAACTGTTAGACAATTTACAGTGTTTCATACTCACCAAGTCACCATCCTTTCCACCACTATCAGATTTAGCTTTTAATTGCGATGTGGCAGAATCATCTAGTAATACAATGAGCAAGCTAAAGGCAAACAACTCTTTAAAAGCTCCTGAGTATTGACACAAAACTTTATCCCATTAACATATTTGATGAGAACAGTACCCTAGAACATTTATCTCATTAATTGCCAACCGTACCCTAAAAAATATCATAACTATGCCTTTGACGCCATAAGCACTAGAAGCATTCCCACCAGAAAAAACCGCTCAGAAACAAGGACTAAGCGTCTAAAGCTCAATTCGTATACAAAAGACAGATCTCAAAGTGTTCCACCATTCAATAAACAACACAACTTATTAACACAAGGCTTCTGACTGTCAGGGTCCTTGAAATGTTGCTTAATCTACCCAATACACATAATCAAAATCGTGTTTTCTTATATTCACAATAGTACTCCTTCAACCCAAAAAGTATGCACCAAGTATAATGTACACACTATAATTTTTGGTTAAGTGGAATTGATGAAAACGTAAAATAGTGGGACCGCACATTTTTTAATGGGCCACATGACCATAAATGTAGAAGAGCATTCTTCTAGGACGTCCAAAAAAGAAAAATTGCGCATATATTATTGGAAAAATTAAAACTAATAATCCCACATTTGCCCAGTCCTCTCAAAACAATCCCACATTTGAGTAATCGCAAAGCAATCCCACCTTTTACCTATATCTTCTTAAACCAGACCCTTGACCAGTTTCTTTAGGTTGGTAAATTGAAGGAGACATTCCATGTGTCGCTTTCTAATTGGTCTTTTTTTATAATAAAAAACAAAAGCAAAAAAAAAAAAAAAAAAAAAAAAAAAACCCTCCCAGCTAGCCTTAGCCTTAGCTGACCCCTTCCCTTTAATTTTCCTCTTCTTTGCCTGAACCACACCCCCATTGCTACCCCCTTCCCCGCCGAAGCCAGCTCTACCCCCCCCCCCCATGGCAACCCTCCTTCCCTGAACCCATCATCACCCCCTTCCCCATCCCTTTCCTCTTCCCAGAGTTTTACTTCCCTTTCCTCCATTGAAGCGGCCTGTGGGTGAACTTTCTCTTTTGAGGTTCGATTTACATTTTGCTCATAATAGAAAATTTTTCACAATCTAGGACCAAACCCACCACCACCATTAAAGTGTGATGAACTGATTTTTTGGGTTTATAATTCTGGTTTAATATTGGTACTAAATAAAGATTAAAGCTTGAATATTGATTGAAAATGGAAAAAAGTTTACAAAAGATAGGTTTAATAGCTTAAGGCTATCAATCTTCAATAGTGAGTTTAGCCTTTAATTTTGGCCTATAGAAGAGCTGGAACAATGATCATAGTTGCCGAGGCCAAAAATCGAATGTCGACTATTATCCACCTTGAGGACAAGGTGGAAGTTTAGGGGGCCGGTATTGTAATAGACTAACTTTAGGAGGGGCACTTTGGGAAGTTTATTATTATTAGGTTAATAGTCTTTAGCCTTAGTATAAATGGGGAGAGGGTAGAAAGAAGAAGGTAGGCAGAATTTTGTATTGAGGGAAACCTTAGAGAGTCATGGCCTAAAGCCATTTTGGAGAGTTGTGAGCTAAACTCACTATTTAAGATTGATAGCCTTAAACTATTAAACCTATCTTTTGTAAACTTTTTGCCGTTTTCAATCAATATTCAAGCTTTAATCTTTATTTACTACCAATATTAAATCAGAATTATAAACTAAAAAAAAATAAATCAGTTCATCACATAAAGCACCTTCTAAGGTAAGATGGTGGGGTTCAGTTTAGGGCTGGGGTTGGGTTTCCATGGTGGGGGTGGTTGTTTTCAGGGTGGGGATTTTTGGGGTAGGGGTGGTGATGTTATGGTGGTGGCGGCGGCAGCGAGTTAGTGGGTGTGATTGGAGTGGTGGTTGTGGTGGTGGTGTGGTGGTGATATGGTGGGTTGCCATGGAAGGGGGTGAGGAGGTGGGAGGAGAGAGATTTAACCAAAAAAAAAAAAAACAGAAAACAAAGATTTTAACCTTTTATACAGATTGTAGGTTAGATAGCTTGTTAAAAGAAGATTGATGTCAAAGTTGGGATTATTTTGGAAAGATCGAGCAAAGGTGAGATTAATAGTTTCAATTTTTTCTATATTAGTTAGGGACAAAAAGAGTAGGGGGTATTTGGCACATGGGAATTGAGGGTGGGAATGGGAATTTTAATCCCTATTCAAAAAAATTCTCTTGTTTGTTAAATGGGATTGGGAATAAAAGAGGGAATGGGATTGGGATTGGGAATAAATGGGATGAATTCCCACCATTTTATTACCTAAGAAGGGTAGGTAATAAATGGAAGGGAATGGGAATAGGTAGAAAATGACATTTTTGCCATTAATGAAAAGAATGGAGGAGAAAGGTTAGTAAGGATGATTTTGTATTTTTATTATTTATTCTTATCTATTTCCATCCACCACCCAAACAAAGTATTGCCATATTTTTATGTATTCCCAACAATCAATTCCCAATCCCATTCCCACATTGTAATCTCCAAACTCCAATTCCCACATTCCAAACGCCCCGTAACTAGTGAGTAGTAACTATATTCCAATATAATCGTCATACTTTCTTTTTATGTTTGTCCCAACTTAACTATCACACATTCTTTTATGAAATGGACCTGCTACTATTTTATTAACTCTCTCTTCCTAGTCCCAACTACGAAAGTTTGGGTCCCACACCCTCTCTCATTCAATTAAAATAATCATATATATATATATATACACACACACACACACACATTGAGACAAATCTAATAACTCCCCCTGACTAAATAAATCACAAAAAAAAAAGTCAAAATAACTTATGTTAAAAGTATCCAAAGAATAAACATGTCAACTAAAAAGAATAAGAGGAAGTTAATAGATAACAGAACAAGTTACTCCCTTCGTTTTTTTTAATTGCAATAGTTTAACCAGACACGCTTGTCATTATACAACTTTAACCATTAATATTTTTGATATTATATTAGATTAAATTATAAAATGTTGACATTATGAAAATATATATCGTAACCAATTCAACAACATATTGCAAGACATAATTTGTTTGTTATACATTAGTTAATAATACAAGTAAAAGCCACTAAATGAATATTTTAAAAGTCAATCTGTTGCAATAAAAAACGGAGGGAGTATCACATAAAGCCCTATGCAAAGGTTAGTGTGATAATTTATTTGGGACGGAGGGAGTAAATCCTTTTGTCAATGCTAGTCTCTTGAAACAAGTAGAAATCTTTAAACACTTTGCAAGATCAAGCTTAATATTCTTAATTAAAATAAAAATAAAAATAAAAAAACCAACCTAAACAAATACATTGAACTCCACAATTGATCTATCAATGATAATCGCCATTAAAACTCACTTTGATTTACTTCTTCAAGACACTTCATACGTTTTTCAAAATGAAAAGCTAATTAGCAAAATAGTTACTTCCTCCGTTTCTTAGTTGCATCACTTTCTTTTTTAACTAATAAATTCTATCTATCTTTCTCCCATCACATGGGCCCTATTTATTTTTTCTCTCTACCTCTCTCTACCCCAAAAATTGCCTAGAAGTCCATGAAACTAAAGTAATGCAACTAAATAAAAACGGATGAAGTATGATAATGCAGCTTGTTTACTTTTTCTTAATAATCTCAATTCAGCTAATAATAGAAATAGTAGGATCCACCATTAATCTCAAGTAACAAGGATTGCTAATTTCATGGCCGAAAGTTCAAAGTAGTTGAAATCAAGCAAGATAGACATCACACAACTTCCCAAACTATGAGTACTAAATAGGTCCAAATAGTGATGTATACATTTTCAACTATTCAATATCCATACATAACTTTACTGCTAGTTAAAGCATGTATAGAATCATGGAGTAATTAGTGTTAGAGTTCATGCATGAGGTACTATTAACACTAGTATACTCCTTTTATCAATGGTAAAATAAGAATCTGATAATTAAAGAGCACTTCTTCAAGTATTTACCATGGTTGTCTATGCGGCAACATTAATTTACTACATTCTCCTTTAGTATCTTATTAAATCTATACTTCACTTAGCCGACATAAGTTTTGCATAACTCATGGAAGCTTCATCAAAAATCACAGATGATTGAGAATCTTGCAATGAGTTCAATAATTCTATCAATCTCAAATGACAGAATCATGGCATCAAATTGTAACCTCATAAAATATTTTGGTTAATCTTAAAAAAGCAAAATTTGAGCACATACTTGCTTATCCAGGTGTACTATAGCTTCTGTTTTCAATAAATTATATAAAATTAACATTCTGAATGTATACCAAATTACCAATCAATAATATATGGTGCACAGTGTACACTCTTTTATGTATGCACAATCTGGACAACCAAACATCAAACACGAAGCTATGGATCACCAAACCTCTAGAGTAATATTTAAAGCAATTAAGAGCAATCAAAAGAAGCATTGAAAAAAACAACAGAATTTTTTTTTACTTTTTACCAAAATACACTGCAGAATAGCAATACAAATTACTTCATAACTGAGAACTAAGATCAGGGAACCAACAGCTTTCTCTCTTCTTTCCAATTTTACTTTATTCAGATCTAAATAGGAGTACTGGAAACAATGTACACCAACCATGATTTAAGGATGTAAACCAGTAAACCGAATATTATGTTTTAGTAAAATCATTTAAAAGAAAAGCCTGACAAGACAAAGAAGTCAAAGCTTCTCACATGTAAACAGTATAAAAGTATATAAATATTTGGCTTTAAATATATTTATTTCTCCCTCAGTACAGCTTCTTCATTACAGCTAATCATTTACTTAGCTCATCTTCACTTCTTTGGGCTAACCTTCTCCTCTTTCATTTATCCATTAGTTCATTTGTCCAAACATACCATTTTTCATTAAATTTTGTGATCATATTACTACTTACTAGTATACTTTTCCAAGAAATACTTTCAATCATTTCAAGAGGGATGTGAAAACTAAAAGGAAAGGAAACATTATCACAACAATCAACACCCTACCCACTCTTAATTGTTTTACAATATACTGTTGGGCATGTATAGAATAATGGAGTAATTAGTGTTAGTGTCATGCATGAGGTTAAGCCCTTGATTCTAAACAATATACGAAGTACATGCAATGCAAGTAAGGACTGGAAACAGAACGCTAGAAAGAGACCCTTTTACAAAAAGGGGCGGGAGGAGGCTACAGTACGTAATCAAATAAAAACAAATACTTACCTGGGCAGCAATAAAATTGTAATTCATGAAGTCCCATCTAGAGAGCTGCTCAGGTGGTTTTTGTACCATGGCAATTTCGTAATTCTCCAATGTAATGAATAGTAAACTTATTGGTACAATCTTTTATGTAATACCAAGTCAGAAGTCAAGCCAGTAAGGATGTAAGATTTATATAAACTATAACAATGTTAATCTAATACATCCAAGAGTGGAGACAATCATACCAAGAAGCTAACGCACCATAACTTTAATGCACTTGATTGATAAATCTCCTCTGGTCCTAGGAACATTGTTACAACACATGCGGTCGCATGTGTTTTACTTTATCAATTATTCATGTTTGCTTGCTCTTGATATAGGCTATACCATGATGCCATAACGAGGTTTTAGAATTCCAAATAAATTTCAAAAGTTCATTTGTTCCTAAAACTCAATGCCTTTCGTTTTTGACTTAGTGCAAAATGTCTCGCCATAGCAGGATTGAAAAACCTTTTCATGTGCTCTGAAAGTTTACGAATTCTACGAAGATCGTCAATCCTTGACAGATGCCTCAAAAATATATCAAACTTCAGATAAGGTATCTTAATTCTCTGATTTACAACATCATCCAAAAACAAACATGCATTTTCAATTTGGTCACAATCAAAAAGTCCTTCAATCATTACACAGTAAGTATTGACATCTCGATCACATTTTTTCTTGCCCATTTCATCCCAAGCCTCAAGCGCTCCCTCAGGATCACCCATTGCAAAGAACATCTCTAGCAGCATATTAAAAGTGTGAACACTAGGCATACAGTCCACATCAACCATCCTCCGGTAAAGCTGAATTGCTTCATCAGCCTTCCTATTTTCACAAAGAACCTTGAGGAAGCAGTTATATGTGACAATATCAGATGGATACCCTTTCTTTTCCATCTCTTCCAAAAATTGGTGTGTTTCCTTCACCTTTCCAGCTAAGCACATTCCTTCAATCAACTCCTTGTAAGTGGAAACATCAGGAAGACAACCGCTTTGTATCATATCCCCAACTACTCTAAAACACTCCTCCATTTGATCATCCTTAACAAGCGCCAAAATCATTATTGCATAAGTCTTTGCTGTAGGAGGAGATGAGATAGAGGTTTTTGTTTTCATCAACTCAAATAAACCAACAGCCTCAGTCATCATTCCTGCTTTACAATAGGTTTCAATTGCAGCATTATAGGTAAAACTATCAGGTGTAAAACCCGTGCTACACATCTCCTCCAAAATCTTCATTCCTCTAGAAGGGTTTCTAGCCCTACACCACCCAAAAAATAATATATTGAAGGTATTGGCATCTGGAGCAACCTTATTTTTCACCTTCTTGAACAGAATCTCTGCATCCTCAACCAAACAACACTTGCAAAGAGCATCAAGTAGCAAGTTAAGTGCCTTGATCTCCAGCTGCACTTTAACCCTAACTCCTCTCTTTTTCTTTGAACATGTCAGGACTTTCATCAAATGCTTTTCCGTATATTTTTTCAAAATAGTCAAGAGAACTTCAATGGGTATCAACGATTTATCATTCCTTTTCATGAAATCCAACAAATCACAAACAATCCTAAATTGTTTAACCTTGAACTTGGTAGAAGATAATATATCAATCATTTCATTGTAAACCTGGTATTCATGGTAATAATTCTCCTGTCGAGCCGCCCACATGAAAAACCTAAAAGCAGTTTTCTCCTCGAACCGAAACCTATTAAGGGTTTCTATAACCAACTCAGTTGTCAAGGAAATCCCAGCTTGTTCAAGAGCTTTCTCCATATTCTTATCACAACCCACATTTTCCATAATAATTTTATGCAACCCATCAACACTATTATAGACTAAACTCTTTTCATCTTCACCCACAAAGTCATTGGACACTCCAGTGGAGTAAAATTTTCTCAATGGGTTCCCAAATTTAGAGTAACCCTTTGAAGAATATGGCTTGGAAATCAATGTATACCCGATAATCGAAGAATCATTACGAAATAAAGAACTAGAAACAGAATAGAATATTGGGTTTTGGAGGGTAGGGAAATCAATTGAATTCTTGCACTGCTTAACAATTGAATTTACAAAAGTTCTCCACATTTTGAAGGAAATTAGCTGGTGTTATATGATAAAGCAAGATTGGAGAAGGTTACCTTTTCACCGATAACAATTGAAAGAAAGCTCAAGAGAGTGGCAACAATGGCGGACCGTTTCTTCCCCATGAAATGCCCGTATACATCCCAGAAATTTCAGTGATTCCTTGTTCAATATCTGAAACAGTGGGCTCTTTCACTAAACTTCTTCATCTGCTCTATAAATCAATCTGCGAATTACTCCTTATAAAAAAACTTTCAACAATAATTCATCTTTTGAAAGTATTTTTGAAATAGTCCCACTTTTTAAAACTTTGGGAATAATCCCACTTTTTAATACTATCTTTATAAAATGGTCCTTAACTTATTTGTAGTTGTATTGTAGGTAAAAACTTGACATGTGTCTTATTTTAATTGATCTAATATTTTTTATTAAATAATTAAAAAATTAGGAAATAAAATAATTAAACCTTAATTAAGAAATAATTATAAGAAGAAAAAAAAATCCCACCATCACTTCCACCACAATTTAATAAGTTTTTTAATTTTTCTTTTTTTTTACAAGAATAAAAAAAAATTCATTAATGAAAAATAGTTAAACGACACTTACAAACATTTCCTAGGAAATCTAAAATGCCAACACAAGTACAAATCACCTAAGAACTAGTTACATCGCAAATTCAATTAACGATCGCCTTAATAAAAAACTTCATCCGAAGCAATACAATCTGTGAGCTAGCACTAATTCGGCTTGAGATCCACCGATGAATAATTGTGTTGAGTGAAAATACACATACAGTTTTCTAGACACTTCCAAAGATTATGAAACTCTATCTTCAAACTTCGGCAGACGGACAGAAAAAAGAAATTAAGCCTAATAGAATAACCACCATCTTAAAGACGGGATCCATTTATTAAAAGCAATTAAAAAGTTTTTTGGGGCTTACCACCGATAAAAACAATGGTGGAAGCCCCTACAAAGATTCACAAATGAAACCGAAAGGAAAGAGATGAAAAGGAAAGGAGAAAAGGAGAAGAATGAAGGAAAACCTTCAAAAAAGCAGAAAATATCTAGCAATGGGGGCTAGAAAAACCCTTCTAAGGTTTTAGAGGGAACTAGAAAGCACTCTCAAGGAGATACCCTAGAGGGAACCTCGATACATTTTAATTATTATGGAGTAGTGAGAATTTTCAATAATAGTAACTTATAAGTTTTGAAATTATGAAATTAAAGACATCAATGGTCAAGTATTGTATTATGAAACCATGATAATGGTACGCTAATACAAGTATGATTTAATTTGTTTGATATAAATTTAGAAAATAATAGTGAAGGATTTATGAATAATGGGGGCTGTTTCAGGTGGGGGAAGGGGGAGATGCTGTCGGGGGTAAGGGTTTTGAGAAGGGTGGGTCGCGGCGGGGGTAAGGGGAAAGGGAGGGTGGTCGGCCGACAATGGGGATTGGACGCTGGGAGAGGGAAGCTCCGGGCGGCGGGTTAAATGGGGGAGGGGGGCTGCCAGCAGGAGAGGGGGAGAGGGTGGCTGGTAGTGGGGTGGTTTTTGTTTTTTTTTTTAATATATTTTTTTATATTAATAATTAATTTAATTGCTACTTTTTTGATAATTTAGTGTAAAAAAACATATACTGGTTCTTTAGGTTGTAGGTCACTTGGACTCTTAGACTATTTTAAGAATATGTAGTATTTTAATACAAACCATCAATCCGATTTTTTTTCTTCCTTTGACTAGCCTTCCTATGACAATATGTAGTATTTTCATCCTCGTCGTTTATCTCATTCGCACGTGCCCTCGCAAACCAGTAAAATTCTTCCAACCTTCGAAGCTCGCCCAGCCCATCCGCCAATTTTTGACAATTTGCAATCATGTTGGCGTTAATATGTCCACCCTGCGCTTCCAACAGTTGCCTCTCAAGCTTTCTATTTTTTTTCTTTGTATTCCCAAAGGACTTTGATGCCCACTTTTTCAAGTCCACAACACATAGATCAAGATGCTCATGAGTGGTTATCCCGTACCAGCCCCATGCTTTCGCAACCACAAACGCACGCTCATCATTTGATAGCCACATGACTTCAAATTAAATCGAAACAACCTCCCTTTCTTACCCCTATCAAAATAGTTAAAAGTATCAAGAATATTGAGACAATAATCAGATTCCTCCCTTACAAATGCTGCACCCAGTGTATGAAAAAGCGCAAGGCACACTATAAAGGGTTCTAGAGCCTAGGTGCTAAGCGCAAGCGCAAGGCACGCGCCTTATGAAGTAAGGCGCAATTTCCTACATTTAAAAGTTTTTTCACTTATGCATATATATATGTGAGTGAAACATAATATTAAAACACATAAAAATATAAGCAAAACATTGATTTCCCATTGCACATTGTTCTCCAAAAACATAGCATACAAAATAGTGTATATTATGCACTAGGCCACTAGCCAATAGGAAACCAAATATTGTAGTTTCAAATGGATATGTAAATCTGTCCTCCTACTGTTCTATTTAATCATCTTCCTCAGAGAAAGCATCAACATCTCCTATATCATCTTCAAGTGACAAGTAGCCTTCATCATCATCATCATCTTCTTTTTCTTCATTTGTTTGTCCTAATGACTGCCTTTGTGTGATTCCTTTGCTTGAACTGCCAATATTATCTCCAAGTTGTAGACATTTAAAAATCTCTCCCCAAAACCAAACCAATGATGAACAACCTTTCACTGCCATCATTGGTCGGGTCGAGTATTTAATCTCGGGAGTGCTTAAAATCCTTTTTTCAATCAAACACAGCAGACAAATTAATCCACATTTTCAGTCCAAGTATTTATTCAAACTCTGTTCAATCCACATTTCGGCCCAAACCTTTTTAATCCATTTCATTTTATTTATTAATCAAGCCGATTAATAAATATGTAAACCCTAAACCTAAAATAAGTCCGGGACAATGAAACAACACCTAATTATCCCAAACTTAATGCAAAATAAAAGATAAAAATGAACTTAGAAGAAATTCCGGAAAACACAAACGTCGCGCCACGGCAACACAGTCGCGTCGCGGTAATTCCCTTTGTCCGGTTTTATCTTTCAACGCGGTTTTAACTTTCAAAATGATAACATTAAATGTCGTACTACGGCAGAAATGTCGTGACACGGCAGGCTATACCGTGCCATGGCTGATATGCCGAGCTACGACGCTTTGATTTGCTACGGCGCCTCGTTTCTAGGGTCCGTACCTCACCCCTCTCATTTTCTCTATAAATACAAGGTTGATTTCTCAGTCTCGGGGCACCAACACACATTCCCATCTTTCTCTCTCACATTCTAATCCTTAAACCTATTCTCCTAATTAAATCATTCCTTTCCTAAGCATTCCAAGGAGTCCATACAACTCCCGAAGTTCCGAACTTAAACCAAGGCGTGAAAGGTAGAACCGATTGAGAGTTTGGACCAAAGCAACTCTACTTTTATTTAATTTAAGTTCAATTTGATTTATATATTTATTAAAGTTACTAATGTTTTTAATCATGATGTAGCGATTTAAAGAAGCGTGGAACGTGAGTAATTAATTCACTTACTTACGCTTATTTTTATTCTTATTGCTAGTATCATGATAAGGGTTATTATTATGATTTGATTTGACTAACGTTATTATGGTTAAAATGCTCCCAATGTTGATGTTTATTCTATTGTTATTAATGATTCACTATATTGCATGTTTTAAGGGAATATGTAATTGTAAATCACACTTAATAAGATAGTTTGGACGACCGGTTTAGGTTTATTTCTTTTTAATCATGTTGTTTATTCAAGTGATCACGAATCTTCTAGAATTATGTGTGCATTAATATTAAACCAATTTAGCCTAATTTAGTTTGGAGCAAATTGAATCTTTATTTGTGTACCTTTGAGATTGCAGGAATACTTTTCACTATAAGAATCGAGTAGAGGCCAATACGGGTGAATGTGACTCCATGACTCAGTTCGTACTATCATCCCCGATCCTCTTTTCGTGGTTCCTAACCATATGGAGTTAGTAATCTCATGGATTATGAATGGGGTGTAACCTTCACGGGTCAATCGTTGTTGTCTTTCGTTGTCCCTACTCGTGGTTGCCTTATAATGATTCGTGAACGGTTTACAAGTTTCTTATAAACTTGTTGGCGACTCCCTACTTTCCTTGTCCCTAATCGTATAATGTCGATTCCCATTTTCTATGAGTGCTGAGCATATTCACCACATGCTTAAGTAGGTGCGCTTCGAATGACGCCTATAATTTGGCGACTCCACTAGGGAGGATTCTTGATTAATTATCGATCTAGGTGATCGATATTTAATTGAGATGAGTGGATAAGATTTGAAAGATTCTTGAATTGTATTTCTGTGATTAATTTGGCATTGTTGCATATGCATTGGCGTTTTAACGTCGTACTTAGGTTCGCCTCGTAGGAAAAATTGAATAACTTGATTGCGATCGTAAAAATAGAGGCACTGGAAAAAAAAATTTGTTTATCGCGCAACGATTAATTGCTGTGGCACCGCACAAAATACCGTGAAACAGTATTCTGTACCGTGACACGGCAATCCTTGTCGTGGTACGACAATCCCTAAATATTTCCAGTGGTTTTGCTTTTTTCTCGTTTTTAGCTTCCTTCGTTTTTTCTGAATAACCGTATGTGTTCTACATACGTTTTAGCCCTTGGGGATTTAAGCTCTATCGATCCAAAAACGTTCATGACAATAAGGGTTCATTCGAGTTATTAAATCCACCCAAACCATGGAGTCGAGTTTGATTTCATCACAAACTTGTGGAGCCGCCCGTTGGCATACACCCTCAAGGGAGACTGCCTTGCTAACGCGTCCAAACTCTTAACCATGGTACCCTTTTGACACCCAAGTAAACTTGACCATAGTGGAACATAGAACTTGACCTTAGGTTGCGAACTTCATTGCATCATCTTGACTACGTACCTTATGTGTGCATAATTGATGGTTTTAGTCTTAACCTTAATGATCGTTTTTTGTCTATGATGTTGGTTTACTTGTTTGTGATGAGTGGCATTTATGCCACCATTTCAACCTCTTTCACTAGAGAATTCCCCCGATTTGTCACTTGTTTGTACCTCTTCTTACCGTTTTACCTCTATTTTAGTTACTTTAGCTCCCTCTCGTGTTTTTCCTTCTCTTTTATCTTTTCTTCTACTTTTTACCTTCTATTCGTGTGTTTTGATAGCGCCTAGCACTCGTGCGCGAATTTTGGATTGCTAG